GAACCTTTCCCTCCTCCACTTCTCCACCTTTCCACAGACAGTTAGAGAACACCCTGGGACGGACTAATTTCTTAACGCGCATTTGTTTCGCTATAGACTGCACCTGGTAAGAGTCATTGCAGCTCTCTCGTTCGTGTAGTCATAGCAACAAGCTATCATCCAAAAAGAACATTACAGTAAGGAGTGAGTAACAATATTAAATATTTACCTTGCATCTGTCCAATTGTTAGATCTTTATCCAGCCTGTCAACACCTACAATCAAATTAACAGATGTATTGGTGAAAAGCCAGAGAGAACATGACTGCCTAAGCAGGGCTTTACTCGATATTTTGAAAGAGACATTTGGTTTGAAAAACGTGAAAAGAAACATCTCTGACACCCACCACGAGGACATTCCACCGCTGCACCTCAAGAGAGTAAAGTGACAGGAAAGAATCCCAGCCAAAACCGCAAGAACACATCCCTCCCTACAACTGGAAAGTGCATTTATCTGGTTACACGCTGTATTTGTAGGTACAAAAAGGGCCTACAGTTGGCTGTAAAACATCGATAACTTGACTTTCAGTTGAAAAGTTCAAAACACGCCCATATCTGTAGGAAAACATTGTAGTGGAGGCTGGAGGGCAGCTTGGATCTGTCCTCTTTGCTCTTCTTCCTCATCATGGAACAGAAACACCCATCCAACAGCAGCAATACACAGTATGCCATTATGTGCTATTCTGATTTTACAGGCTCTGAACAAATTCCAGATCTGCACGGATCAAATGGTTTAGGATATTGCAAGATAGATAGAAAAGTCAAGATGGAAGAGAGATCTGCCAGTCTCAAGAGAAGGACATTACCCAAACGCTGACTCTGTTTTCTAACATGCAAGTGGGGCTGAAACGAACGGCCACTGCACCTAAAGAGCACTGGAAGAGACACGTACCAGCTAAAAGCAAAAGCTTTGGAGTTGGACAGCTTAGGAAGAGGTTAGATAAACCCCTGAACCAGCCATCCCAGTACTTTTCTGTTTTCGCCAGTTCAATTCGCCACGTGTATAAGTGCTCCTTCTTTGTCTGCAGGGAGGAGAGAGAGCTCAGCGTTAGTGACCAGTAAAACAGCTGAAATAAAATGAACTCAGAGAGCCACTTGGAAGCATATATAAAAAATACTGGCTCCCTCTGGTGGATTACACATGGCCAGGGGCTCACTCCCCTTGCTCCTGAATTTCTCTCCAAATCACAGCCAAAGTAGACAAGTAGGGAACAAGAAAGTCAGCAGGAGCTACACCTATAGATCAAGAGAAGGCTGCTGTATTCAGGGCACTCAGTTTGCTGTCTTTCACTGGCACAGACAGCTCACAAACTGTCTGAATGTCCACACTTGGCTCTCACTTAAGTGACACAGAAATAAAAGGGGTTAAGCTGGCTACAATGATTTTCCTCTAGGAATTTACATTCCTAGGTTTCAATTGCCTGCAAGACCTCCTGAATGCTACAATGCTGCGGAAACGAATGGAAATACCACAAAAACTCAGAAAAGAGCATCCCTCATTCAGGCCATATGCATCAAATCTGTGAGCATCTCAGGAAAGAAAACAAAACCACACACTTTCAGGTAACAGTCCAAGATAGAATCAGTAGCACGAGACGAAGAAGAAAAACAACAGTCGCAATACAAAGTTTTTGGTCTCTGGAGTCGCTCCCCTTTATATTGGAATGATCTGGATAAGTACCAGCAGCTACTCTTGCAGGGGAGCATCATGCAAACGCAAATTCCCTACCTCTGTGTCATCTTCTTTCTTCCTTTTGTTGACAGAGCCCCCCCCTTCTTCCTCCTCTTCCTCCTCCTCCTCTTCTTCAATAATACCCTCCACTATGGCTTTCGGACATTCAGGACTGGCAGCCCCTTCACACCTGTGAAAATAAACCCAGAAACTGATTCCCTGCCAAAACAACAACAACAAAAAAGAAACCCAACAGGTTTTAACCTAAAGTGGTCAGTAATTTCTCAGCTACTGGCTGAAAAAAAATGCCCTCAAGTTTAAAAGCAGTCGTGGGTGAACGACACAGCCATGATTAGCCACGGCACCGAGTGCCTGTGCAGCACATGTACCCATCCCAGTGCAAATATAAATGCAAAGAGTTGCTTAAAGGAGGCAGAAGTGGTCAAACAATCAACAACAGCTTTCCTTAACGGAGCGTGAGACGTTTGCAAAGGCTCCAGGTATGCTGAGGAGCAGCACAAGCAGATTTACTCTGATCCCTGCAAACTCACCTCAGATCACTCCCAAAATGCAACAGATAATTCAATAATTTCTAAAAGGAGCCATACCCTGAAGGCCAACACGACTTAAGCACAATTTCTGAAGAGGCATCACATCAACACTTATTTCTTAATCCGTGTGGAAAGGTAAACAAATGAAGGAATACACAACCAGCAGTAGTAAACTTTTTAAAACACGGCTCTTGGCGGATTTTTCCCCAAGGAAATTTTGGCCAAGCTTTCTCCGAGTGCCATGATTATGATTCAGTGCTGCTGCTGGTATCAACTGTGATCAAATGATGAGAAATTTGTATTTGCTAGAAGAAATTTGCACTTCCAAGTGCGTTTGTGCTCTGTAGCAAAGGTATAGTAAAATACACAAAATGATGTTGAGAGATTTAAGAAAACCCAAACAAACCACCTACTGTTTGACTTGACCGACCATAGAAACTCTGGCAGATTCAAGATTTCTTATCTGTCCACTTTTTACGCTAGAAGAGAAAAAATCAGAAGGACAGAAGTAGTTACTCCACAGAATCAGTAACCAGCAGGCCCAGAAACAGGAGCAAAAGCCCTTTTTGCATCTCAGGATTTCCCCAAACCGTTCCCAAAGCTCCTGCTGCCAGGAGGTGCTCGGAGTGGCTCACGCTACACGTTGACTCACGTGAACCCCCCCATTGTCACCGTAACGGAGTTTAAAGGACCTGTGGGAGAAGTGCTGGTGGGGAAACAGTGAAATAGGGTTATACTCATTCCGTTGCAGTGGACAGGGAGAGTACCTGGTACTGGTACCAGAACTGGGCTTTCTGTCCTCCAATCTACAAACTCAACCACGAGGCCTCTCCCTTTCCAACTCGGCTGCCCAAGGTGTCAGTAATTCTTGCTGAATCAGACATAAGTCCTGTCTCTTACACATGGGATGGACATCTCAAGCTCCTTCTGTTACAGCTGGGACACTTACAAGGAAGCTGCAATTCATATCATGAAGCTTTCCACTAGCTGAAGCTCCTAGAGGGTCTTCCTCCAATGCCTAGCCAACTCTCCCAGAAATTATCTTGGAGACCTCTCTCTCCCTGCCAAATCAGCCAAGGAATTGGTGACAAGAGATGAGGAAGTGAGCACGGAAGAAGAAAACAGACAAATTATATAAAATTTGTTTCCTTCAGGAGTTAAGCTACACAAACAAGTGATTTTGGAGACTGCATAAGCCCATCCATTACCTCCACTCAATGGCATTCTCAAGTGACTTGAATGTTTTGGGACGACTCCTTAGGAAGTTCTGCATGCTGTTCAACGCATCCATGGCTGTACCTAAAACCAAGTATTTTAACTTTATGGCATCGGATGAAATAATTGCCACATCCCTCTATACAGAACTGGTTACTGGAGAACACCCTCGGAGAGAGCTGGAGCTCACCGGGGATTTAAAGCTGTTAAGGAAAGTACAGCTCAGTACTCCTAAGCCTACAGTCACACCTGCTCTCACATTAGAGAATTAATATTAACTATTATTAATAATATGAACAGGTAGGACATTCAGATAGTAAAAGAAGGCACGTAACCGCTCATCAGCTCTGTGCATTATATAAAAAGCCACCCTTCTCCCTGCTAGCAAGAAAATATTGTCAAGAAATTATCAGGAAAACAGCAAACAGAGATCCCACCTGGGAAAAGCAAAAGGAGGGGTCATGCTAGAAAGACTTTTGTGCAGGTAGCATCTGTTAGGAGGATGGAATTAGCACCGGTTTAAAAACCGGGGAAAATTTTCTGTATTCAAGGATTTGGGGATAAAAGGAAAAAAGACCAACGTGGAAAACAGAACCCCAACCCAAGAGTACAGAACCCTCTCCAAGGGTCCACACGCTTACCTTCCACGACATCGATCATGCACAGACCCAGCAAACTCGGCACCAAATTGGCGACCGCCGTGTGCACGGCGATGGCCCCCCCCATGCTGTGCCCGATCAGCATGATAGGGGGAGGGAGGTCCCCATACAGAGCTTCGACCACGTTTCCAACGTCTCTGCCAAATGGAGATAAAAGCATGGTCGGCATCTCCACCTTGAGACGTTTCTGAAGCAGATTTGTACAATGGGAGGAGAAAGTACAGATCCAAGACAGACGTCCGGCTCCAAATCCTCTCTGGATGCTCATCAACCCACAGGCAATTGAGAGAAATTTATTCTCTTATGACTGTTTCATCTAGGTACCGACACAGAAAATCATCCAAGCCAATACTTTCCTGAAAAAGCATGTCATTTCCATTTTTATTAACAGAAGGTGCTTATTTAAAAGAAATCCCTGAAATCGACATTCTACGTTGATATTAGCTGGTGGGAATTTTAACTAAAAGGTGAGAAAATGCTGTCAAGTCCTCTTGCATGGAAGCGTCAACTAAGAAATTCACTGTTCTGAATTTGCAATTATAGAATTGTAGAATCAGAGAATGGTTTGGGTTGGAAGGAACCTCAAAGATCATCCAGTTCCAACCCCCCTGCCATGGGCAGGGACACCCTCCGCTACACCAGGTTGCCCAAAGCCCCAGCCAATCCGGCCTTGAAAACTTCCGGGGATGGGGCAGCCACAGCTTCTCTGGGCAACCTGTGCCAGTGCCTCACCACCCTTAGAGGGAAGAATTTCTTCCTTAGATCCCATCAAAATCTCCCCTCTTTCAGTTTAAAGCCATTGCCCTGTGTCCTGTCACTGCACACCCTTGTATAAAGCCCCTCTCCAAACTGGCTTTCCTGACTAAAACCATTCAGAGGAACTGGAGACCTGAGCAGCATTGCAACTACAGAATGGAAACCAAGTCAAAAATAAAAGGCTGACCAGCTTGTTTGCTCTGTCAGAGAAAATTGCTAGAGGATTTGATTAAAAAAAAAAAAAGAAAACCAGCTATCATTTAAGGCTCCCATTTAAAGGCTATTCAAGAATAACTTTCAAGCTCATTGCTAAGAGGAGGGAAAGGTTTGGGATTTTTTCTTTTAAAAAAAGGCAACTTGTTTTCCTCCCACAGTAATGCTGCTCCAGATTTCAAAAATCCTAATCACTTCACAGAGCATCTCCTCGGGACAATAACACATCAGGATCCGACACGCCATATGCAGCAGCAATAAGGCACACAATGGAAGTCAGAACACGTTTCACACATGGTCTCCTCACAACAAACCAAGCGGATTTGTTTCTATGAAGGTTACAAAATCCTTCATGACTTCATTGTAGCCCTAGCAAAGAGCCTCTTTGTACTAAACATGGACGTAATGTAATGTGCTCAGCAGTGGGTATTTGCTTTTCTTACAGCTTTGTCAAGAGGGGGATTTGTATTCCAAAGCAGGTCGTGGTAGTTTGGAAAAGTGACTCCCTCCACGCTTGAAAGTCTCAGCCTGTGACCTGCACTTTGGAGATGTCGCCAGTCCACGGCGGGCGGGCTCTGAGCGCTCACTCAGGGTGTGGGAGAACCACCAAACCAGTGATTCCAAGCTAAAATGCCCCAGTCGCTTATGTCATTCATAGATTCATAGATT